TTTCTGAGGTTCCATTTCTTTACTTGACACAGTGTATAGTAAAACCAAATTTTTTGGAAGTACCTAAAGGGCCAAGCTTGCAACACCCATTTTTTACTTTCTGCAGTTTATCTTAGTAGTATTATGTGTTTTCTATTTTCCTTATTCTTTTTATTATTTTTTCCCTTTACTTGTATGATTAGTAATGTTTTTAATTCTTGTCAAGTTATATTTGAGTCTAATTTAGTGGGTTTTCTTAAATTCTAATTTGGATGCATTTTCTGTACCCCACAACGTGACTTATATTTGCAGATTTGGGTTATTTTTTGTTTTAAAATCTAATTATTAGGGTGGTCAGGCACTGGAATAGGTTGCCCATGGAGGTGATGGAGTCACCATCACTAGAATTGTCTAAGAGGTGTCTGGATCTGTTGTTGAAGGATATGGTTTAGGGTTGGAGTGGAGTGGCAGGTTAAAAGTGAGACTTGATGGTCTTAAAGATCTCTTCCAGCCTTGATGATTCTATGATCAGTAATAGTAAACAGTTCAGAAATTTCCATGAGTTCTTGGTGCTTGGAGCATGTCTGAGGTTGGTGCTTCAGCCATGTTCATTAGTTAGTGAGCATCTGTTGATGAACCATATACCTTTAATGATTCCAAGAGGGCAGATTTATTTTTGGTTTTAAGTTTTGCAGTGTGGTTTTACTCCAAGGGAAGGGAGGCAGTTCTTCAGGACTTCTTTCTTTATTCCTGTGGGAACACCAGCAGAATACACTTGTTCAAATAAAATGCCACTAAGAAACCTTAGTTCAGATCTGCCCTTGGTGACACCCTTTGTTGTACTGTGCTGGTCCTTTGGAACTGTGGACATTTGTCACTGTTCCTTCTTTTCATGCTGAGAAAAATAAAAGTAGAATCATCGAACACTTTTATTAAATTTTGCTTTGGCTAAATTGGTTTTCACATCATCTCACTGCTTTAGGCCTTTTATGCCTGATTTTACTCTCCTCTGTGCTGGCTGGGACATGGTACCCAAGCCAACATCAGGAGAGTGAGTTTGAAATGGACATAAATATTTATTCCTTTCTTCTTATTACTAGTAATCTTTCAGATGCTAATATGTATTGGCATCTTCATTAAGCTGTCTGTCTTGATTTAAAATACTAAATTCCTTCAAGGCTACAGCTAGTTCAGAACCTAGCAGTGTATACTGAGTTTAAATCTTCCTTGTAGTGTCTGGTATTTTGAACACATCCGTTGAATATTTCAGCTATCACATTCCTGATGATTTGTTCCATCTGGGTTTATTCACAGTCCTTCTGGGTTTGCCATCTTGCCCTTCACGCTCTTTCTCCAATGGTTAATTAGTGCACTTAATAACACATCCTTCTCCTCCCCTGGGGCAGACTCCTAATGCTCAAGGTTGAACCCTATTCACATTAACTACATTATATGCTCTTCATCTCAGTTTTGTCTTATTCAAGAGGTTTCTAGAACAAAGCTCTGTCTGTGAGGGAGACTATGGAGTCTCCATCCTCGGATGTACTCCAAAGTGTCTGTACATGGACCTGGTAACCAGATCTAGAGGCCTTGCTTGAGCAGAATTCCAAAGTTCCCTTCCAAGATTCACTGTGCTGTGACTCTGTGATCAAATTAATGGAAATGAGTGACTGTTGTCACCTTTTCATGTTTACTATTGAATTCTCTCAGGATCAGAAGTTAATAGTGTTTCTTTACCCATACCACTGTCAAAGTTACATTCTTTTCTATTCTTGCATATCTTTTCTAGAGAGTGAAAGTAGAGGCTGAATACTTTTTTACTTAATTTTATTTTCAAAAGTATTCATCTGGAAAAATGTTTGTAGCTATGTCTTTGCATTCCTGGAGACTTTCCCACCTCCTCGTGATGGATAAGAGTTATTTCTTGTAATATCATTTGAGTATGTGTGCTGCTATATTTTTTTCTCAAATCCTATTTACCAGAGATGGTTATGTTACACAGAAAATGGATACCAAGTTAGAATTTTAGAATGTATTGCCATGCCCTCTCACCTGTGAAAAACTATAAATGTAAACATATTTCATGGAAGATGAGGTGGGATGCAATTTTTCAGCTCATTGGAAAAAGCAGAAATAAGTCAAGGACTGCCAGCAAGGTTTCAGTTTTAAGATATGATGACGATTATTGTGTCAAAAACAATCATTAATGTAATCCCTGAGCTGAAGAGCCTTCAAGTTGATTTCATACAGGCTTTTATTTAGATTTAGGCTCCTATTCAGAAATAAGAGCAGCTAAGTAGGAATGGATTATTTTTAAAGTTGGGGTTGGTTCCTTCTGTGAAAAGAACAGTATTGACAAATCTTATTTCATTGTGTTGCCACATACAAGTCAATTGAGTGTTTATTAACCGTTTATACAAGATCATTTTAAACATATCTTATGGTTAATTAGCAGAAAAGCTAGAGGTATGTTTCCTTTAAGGTTCTTACTTTGTGGATTTCTTTGCATAAGGTAAAGTAAAGCAGAATGATGCACCAGTTACGTGTTCGTTTCCATGACAAACATTTGGAATGTGACTAGAGAACAGGTAGACAGACATATGTTAAGGAAAAGAAATGCATCTCCCCAGACCCTGGATTATTAGTATTGCTCTCTATTCTTGTATTACCTCTGGTTGTAGTTCCTGTTGTTTTACAATCTTTCTGCAGTAGATCTATTTTAATCAGATTATCTCCTTATGGTGGAGAATTTATTCTGTATTTCAGTTTTCTGTAGTAGTCTGAAACCTCCTGAAAAGCAAAGAATAACTATATAAGGTGTGGAGTGGGTCCTTACAAATAATATTATTGTCTTAGATTGAACAGATCTAAGAAACAACAGGCACTCTGCTGCTTTTTTTCTTGCTCAGATGGTGACCAGGTTTGGTTACAAGCCTCTTCTGATTGAAATAGTACAGAGCTGAATTTTTTTCTTGTTAGCATTTTAAACAAGATGTTTTCAAATATATTGAGTCAATCTGATCTGTCAGGATCTTTGTGTACCCTGAATACAACTTGAATCCCATGTTTTAGAGGGGAAAAAGTAGTATCTGTGTGTTTTTGTAATAGTTACTCTCATTAACTTGCATGGGCCAAGAAGAGCTGTAAGTGCTGCCAGGGAGGTTTTCCAGCCTGGGAGCTGAGGCTTCTCACTCTAGCATGGCAGCAAATCTCTGTTCTGTCAGACCACTGAGCTCAGCCCTCAGAGACTGACACTTGCAATGAGAACTACACTAACACTTTAATAGTATCCTTTGTGAGCCCTAATTGATTTCATGTAATGCCATCAGTGCATTTCACACTCTCATTAAATCGAGATGTTTCTACAGTAAGTAAGGCTAAGGAAACAAGTGCCTTTAGAATATAATTATTTTCATAATCAGTTTTAATTATACTTCACTGTCTTAGAAGCAAAGATTTTATCTTACTAAATTGTAGCTGAGTCATTAATATGCTGTTTATTAGATGGCACTGTTGACTGCCTTGGAATTTCAGAAGAATTATTTATTTTGGAATGCAAGGAAAACTTAATTCTACATATTATGGACCATGAAGTGTGAAGAAGACTTAAACAGAACAATAATCTCTTTGCTTCTATTGGTAGAGTAAGAGACCAGTTTTGTCCCTTTGGTTTTAGTTTTGATTTTAGGATTTCTTCTTTTTCTGAGTTCTCCTCAGTGTCAATCCCAGCATGATTAAATGTTGTCTGCCTGTGTGTTGTTGAGGCCCTGGAATGCTATGAGCATTAGGCTGGGATCTGTTCCGTGGGCTCAGAGGGTTGTGGGCAGGTGCTGGAGAGGTTTGTGAGGTTGATTGTTCTGGTTTTGGGGTTTTTTTTTGCTTTGGGGTTTTTCTGTTTACTTGTTTGGTTTTTAAGATACTTATTTTTTTACTTGAGTGAGCTCATCGAAATATTATTCTGTACCTGCAAGTAATTTTTAATGATACTTCATATGTCTGTGATTATTGTATGTGGCTGAGATTTCCTTTCCTTTAACCTGATAAATGTTCAGGTCTACTTTCTGGAAAGCAATTGATTTTAACAACAATTTATCAGGAGAATAGAAATCACAAGTAAAAACAAAATCTGTTTTCAATAGCATAAAATACAACCTGTAAATTATTTTAGTTACGAAGGAATCTCCTTAGTTTCATGAATGATTTTTCTGTAGCTCACTATGTGATTGTGATAATCTGTGGTTCCGATGACTATGGAGAAAATGTGCACATCTATTATGTGTTTATATATTCTTGACCTATGCGAAGGCACAAAGACAGTGAGTCAAAACCAGTGGAGGCAAGAAAAGCCTGTTAGAAAAAAATTCCCTCTAACTCTTTCC